TGGACAAAATACAAAAGTATATATATAGACAAAAATTACATCAAACTTGCTCATGTGGCAATAACAAATCTGTTACAACCAATTACAACCAATAAATGGAATCTATTTTAACATTTTCCAGATTAGTGCTAGCACTCCTTTATTCCCGCAACCTTGGTGCCAGCACTCCTTCATTCCAGTAGTTGCCAGCAGCTTCCAGTAGCTTCCAGCAGCTCATCTTCACGATTGAATCTTCAACAAATACTCACACAACCTATGTTTATATGTGGATGACATTTAATTACTGGTAGTGATGAAAACATTGACATGGTAGCTGGTCTTATCGAGAAGTAGAACACTGAGTTTGCTTTAAAAGACTTGGGGCCTAGTCAACAACTTCGTAGCAATTCAAGTCAGGAACACCGGTGAAGGAGTACGTTTCAAACCAAATACATATTAGACCTCCTCTATGAAGAAAAATGAAGCATGCTAAGCCCCTAAAAATTCTCATGACTTCTCTGTCCTTGGTAGTGATCCGGCGTAAGATGCTCACATATAGAGATCAATAGTTGGGGCATTTCTCCCATCGGAACTTAAAAGTTAAGCGTGCCTCAAAAACAGTAGTACCAGCAGCTAGTTTGGGAGAGTTTAAATTATAATAACTATGTGTCAAACATTCAGTAGGAGGAGTGACTACACTAGGATGAGTGACTCCCCTAGAAAATCCTCGTGTTCCACCCCTTTTGCTTAATTTTTTTCAAATAAAATATTAGTTGGCGCATCACTGTATATGATAATCACACCACTAGAATACACCTACAATGGTAATTGAGTGTAACGATTTATCCAACATGACCTGGAAACTCATTGGCAAAATTAAAGGGAAACCCGGGTTCTTAAAACTTAAAAGGAACACCGGAATGAAATCACTAAGTTTGGTCCTGAGCATATTATTTTCTTTCCTTTTTTCTATCAAACACTTTTTGTAAACTTTCTATGGCACATATTTGACCTAAATATTGTCTTATCGATATGCATATTCATCTACAATCAAAGGGCATTAGGAGGAAGCTAGAGAGGAAGTTTAGAGGCTGAATAGCTAGACATTCTACACAATTGAAAGATCCAATTCGAGAAGAATTGAGATATTTATTCAAGCATTGAAGAAGCTATTGCTGCAAGACACCTGCCTACATCTTTTAACACAATTATTGCTTGGGATTATTGAAGAAGAATATCAAGGAGAGGAAATCAAGAATCATTGAAGCAATTCAAGATTCAAGACCATTTTCTGTCTTTCTTCCAAAAATCCTGATTTTCGGGTGATGTATTTATTATTCTTGTGTTCTTGTAATCTTATAATGCTTAGCTAGTTGTTTAGATGTTAGGATAAAGTTGAACCCTTTTGTTTTGATATTTTGATATTAATTATATAATTTTAGCATTAAAACAATTTTTCGGTGTTGAATGTTTGTAATGCTTTCAAGTAATTAACCACTATAGAATTGATGTATATTCCTATTGAT